AGAGAGAGAGAGAGAGAGAGAGAGAGAGAGAGAGAGGCTGGTGCGGACAAGGGGGATCCGATTGTTTAATCAAAACAAAGCATTGCAATGAATCCCAACGGATGTTGGCGTGATGCGATTTCTGCCCGGAGCTCTAAACGTCAAAGTGAAGAGTTTCAAGCAAGCGTGGAAAAATGGTGGGAGTAACTATAAGGCTCTCGGTGGGAAAAGAATTGAGTGCCACGTCATCTAATTAGTGATGCGCATGAATGGATTAACGAGGTTTCCACTGTCGCTATCTATCATCCTGCGAAATTGCAACTATGGGAGCGGTTTTGTGGGAAAACGACGAGGCGAATGCCTCGACATCTAAATAGTGACGTGCATGTGCGCACGTGTGTGCGAGAGTGAGGGAGAGGGAGAGAGAATTGGAACGGGTGCGAACAAGGGGAATTCGACAATTTAATTAAAACAAAGCATAGCAATGGTTCCAACGGGTGATGGCGCAACGTGATCTCTGCTCAGTGCTCTGAATGTCAAAGTGAAGAGATTCAATCAAGCGTGGGAGAATCATCGGGCGCAGTGACACGCCATCTAACTAGTGACGTGCTTGAATGGGTTAACGAGATCCCGATTGTCCCTATCTAACACCCCACGAAATCACAGTCACAGGAACGGGCTTGGGGGAATCGGTGGGAGTGAAGCCACTTCATCTATTTGGTGATGCGCATGGATGGATTAACGAGATTTCTACAGTCCCTATCTACCACCCGGCAAAACCTCAGCCAAGGGAACGGACTTGTAAGAATCGGCGGGTCGTCACCTTTCCACTGTCCCTGTCTATCATTCCGCGAAATCTCAACCAAAGGGACGGGCTTGAAAGAATCGGCGAGAAAGGAGCCCCTAGTGAGCTTGACTCTAGTTTGACTCTGTGTGATAACTTGAGAGGTATGGAATAAGTGAGAGAGAGTGTGGAAGGGAGTGCGTTGTCGATGCTCTTGCTGAAGACTCATTTCGTATCCGAGCAAGCTCTTGCTGGAAATTCGTCTCTCCTTCTTTGATTCGGTCACTGACGGGGCAGAGTTACAGCGTGTTACGAACACGCTCATGCTAGAGATGCATTTTATTCTCCTTCACTAGGTGAGTGACCGAAGAAAGTGGTTGAGCATCTACCATGTTGAGTCAGATCTCAACTAACAGCGAGTCCACGAATCTGACCCGTTCCTGGCGCCGGATTCATCCTACGATCAACTAGAAATAAAGGGAAGTCTTCACAGACGCACTAAGAGAAAGGAAAAGGAAGGGCATTGTATCAAGATGAGAGCACAACCAACTCAGGTTGCGAGTAGGGCCCAGATAAAGCGAGCCTCAGGCTGATCACCAGGCTCAGATAAACATTTATATATCTGGTGCAGATTCAGAGTCACAAAGAGCTCAACGGGCGCAGGCCGAGTGCAGGGCACAAATGAACTCACCAAGCACAGATACTGATTCCGAAGGAAATTTCTAGACGCGGACAGGCTCAGTAGAGTTTGTGGTGGCGTACCACAACAAGTAAGGCACAAATTCAGACTTGGACTATCGGACTCAGATTGCAGGATCAGACCAAATACTTGAACCGCAGGTTTAAACTCATATTGGGATTGCAGGTGTAGATTTAGGAGTAGGGGCAAGCTCAACGACCACAAATTCCTTCAATCCCTCTTTGCGGTTCTTCTCAGCGGCGACTTGTTGCACCAGTCACTGACTTTCTCAACAATTCCCCCTGACAGCCGATCTGAAGTCCCCCACAGTCGCTAACCTCTCTTATCATTATCTACTCATTCGCGACCTGTTGAGTGGTTTGGAATTAAGTGATGGTCGATCTGAATCTCTGTCTCTAGCTTTGATGAGCTCTAGAACGAGCTTCCGGTTCGAGTGTTTTCAATGAAACTCCTTGGGGATGAAAGATTAAACACAGACAACGCAATACAACCTGTGCTGTGATGAGGCAGAGACAGAGTGGCGAGGTTGAGGGAGAGAGAGAAGAGAGAGAGAGAGAGAGTGAGAGCACGCACACACACTCACTCGACTCAGACACGGACTCGTCTCGACACGACGAACGCAGACACGACGTGGCAAAGTCCCGAAGTCGCTAAGTTGCAATCTTGCATTTCGAACACAAAGTCGCGGCAAGTCACACTTAAGCACAAGCACGGAGGCCGAAGATTGAATGCCCGTACTGGCCTTGAGTCCGGTCTTAAGTACCGGACTCAAAGGAGGGATTTGAAAACGGGCGCCAACTGCAAAGGGCGCCAACAGTCAGAAACCGAACAGCAGGAAATCAAAAAAAAAAATAGCAAGCTAGCGGGTGGTACCCCGCGGACCAGGGATCGAGCCCTGGCTGAGTTCGTCCCCTCCCTCTAGAAGGCAACATCCCGGCTGCCAAAAGCCATGAAACAATGTTGAAGTCTGGGAAGGACGTGACGGGGCCGATCACTGGTCAACATGTCAAAAGGAAGAGGGGTATAATGTGGGTGGGCTGGGTCGGGGAGTAAGAGGGGACAGGGTTATCCTATTAACAAGCTAAGGGGTTTTGCAGGGTATTTCTACTGATGTGCTAAGGGGTTGGGAAGCACAGGGAACAGGGTAATCCTACTGATGAACCAAGGGGTTGGCAACAACGGGGAAACAAGGTAATTCTACTGATGAACTAGGAGGTTCAGGGCAAAACAGGTTATGTGGTCCTCAAAAAAAGGAAATTTGGCTTGCGATGTACGGGGCAGGGATGTTGAGGGCCGGGGATTTAGTGCTACAGGTCGAAAATTCAGTGTAGCAGTCCATCTAGATGTCTTGAGAACAGGTCTTGAAAACTGTGGCAGAAGTGTCGGTGAGAAAGCAGTTTTCAACAGGTCTGTGATGTGGACGGCGAGAGCTTCAGCTTGAATGTCCCAATAGCAGGATGCGTCCGGTACTCGGATCTGGTGCTGAGGTCTGATCTGGATAGCAGGTAGCAGACCGATCTTGATGTCCCTGTCAGAGGTGCTGCTCCAGAAGTCTGCGAGTCCAAGGTGTCGGCCAAAGGGAACAGCATGGTGGCCAACCAGTTGTCTTATCTCCGCGTACTGAGTTCCAGCATACCATCGTCCTCGTGCGCTTGCCATTAGATCCATTATCGTCGGGGACGTGTAGGGGCCACATAGGGAACTTGGACAAGAGAGACAAGCATGTGGCGGAGGACAGATGGGAGAAGGGGGCGAGACGGAGGCAAGAGCGGATCAGACAGAGGGAGGTCAAGGGGCAAGGGCTTTGCTGGAGGCAGGGGTGTGTGTAGGGCAGGAATGCGGGGTTTTGGCGGGGTCAAGGCGGGGCTTATGCAGGGGTTTAAGGTTGGGGATGTATCTAGGATAGAAGGTGAGTGTGATCATAGGCGCGAACAAGTTTCATAGCGTTCTTGAGATTAGAGAGAGGTTCCCATGTAGATTCTTCATCGGGGTATCCGGTCCATTTGACTTTGTATTTTTTGATGGGTTTCGGATGGTCTGATACTTGTGTAGTTCGTCGTCCTATGATGGATTCTCCTACGAATTTGGGGCCTGTGTGAAGCATGATTGATGGAGGTAGGGGGTAAGGTCGGTCAGCGAATTGAGGTGGGGATTCATGATACTCTTTTAGGTATTCTATGTGGAAGACAAGGTGGACACGACTCATGTCAAGGGGGATTTGGTGTTTGTAGTTGACGTCGGAGGTTTTTTCAATGACGGGGAAGGGTCCGAGCCATTTGTTCGAGAGTTTCTTTGACAATCCATGTTCGGGTTCAAAACGTTTGGCGGAGAGCCAGACTTTGTCCGCGACTTTGAATTGCAAGTCTTGTTTGTGTTTGTTAATCTTGTTTGCTTGTTGTTCTTGTGTTCTTTCAAGGGCTTCGGTTGCTTCTCTGAGGAGTCGATTCATTGTTGCTACCCATTCATTAAGGGAAGGGCAAGGTGTGGAGGGGTTGAGCTGCGAGGGAAGCAGGAAGTCGGAGGGCAAGCGAGGATGGTAGCCAAGGTTGAGGTAGAACGGGGACATGCCAGTGGAAGGGCAAACGACGTTGTTATAGGTGATCTCGGCGGCTGTGAGCAGCTGGTCCCAGTCGTGTTGGTGTGGATGACAATACCTCCGCAGGATTCTTTGGAGAGTATCGTTTATCTTCTCGGTTTGTCCATCAGTCTGGGGGTGGAATGTAGTGCTATACTTGAGCGTGGTTCGATGCTTTGAAGAGGTGTTTCCAGAATTGTGAGAGGAAGCGGGGATCACGGTCACTGATGATGTTCTCGGGGAGGCCGTGATGGCGTGCGACATTATCGAAGAAGAGGGTGGTAATGTCTTTGGCACTGTGCGAAGTCGTGCAAGGAATGAAGTGGGCACGTTTGGTCAAGCGGCAGATAATGACGTAGATGCAATCATGCCCGCGGTCGGTCTTGGGGAGGCCGCACACGAAGTCCATGGAGATGGACTGCCACCGGTGAGTTGGGATGGGCAATGATTGGAGCTTGCCTGGTTTGGCCCGGTTCGAGGGGTTGACAGCTTGATACGTGGGGCATGAGCGAATGTATGCTTCGACGTTGGCGAGCAGGGAAGGCCAGTAGACGTAGTGGGAGATGGTGTCAAAGGTTTTTTGGAAACCGAGGTGTCCTGCGGTCTTGGCGTCGTGGTGCTCGACCAAGAGTTGAGTACGGAGACTGCATGCGTCGGGGATGCAAAGTCAGCGAGTGCCTTTGGTATCGATGTAGAGAAGGTTGTCGTGAAGGGAGTCGTTGGGGACTGGGTCAAGATTGCGGAGCTTTTTGTAGATGGTGGCGAAGTCTGGGCAAGAGAGGTAGCCTTGGGTGTATCGGTGATGGAGTGATGGGAGGAGTTGGATAGGAGTCATGGCGACGTAGACTTTCTCGGGGGGCTTGTGGTCGGGTCGTCGAGAGAGGGCATCCGCAACGCGGTTGCTTTTGTCGGGGGTATGGCTAATGGTGAATGTGAACTGGGCAAGGAAGTCTAGCCAACAGGCTTGGCGTGGAGTGATATCTTTCTTGGAGAGGATGGAGGAGACGATGGTGTTGTCAGTGCGGATGGTGAAGTATTGCCCGTCGAGGTACGGGCACCAGACTGTGAGGGCGTGAATCACGGCGAGGAGTTCCTTCTCGTTGGAGTGGTGGTGTCTAGTGGATCAGAGAGGGTGTCAAGGTCGGGGGAGGTGAACTCGTCCGAGGAGGTGGTGGAGGTGGTGTCCGCGGAGGCGATGTTGTGGAAGAAGCGAGGGCGGGGAGGGGCCGATGTAAGTGCGGTCTTGTAGGGGGAGAGGATGCGGTCGAGTTGGAGGGTACGAGTGAGGAGGTTGGCGAGGGTCATGGGGGGCTCATGGACAAGGGCGGCCGCTAGGTCTTTGCGGCAAACACAATTAACGCGGGAGACATTTCGGTGTACCACCAGCGAGCAGTGTTGTCTAGAAGTGGCCACCAGCGATGGGGAGCCAGTGGATGACGGGGATGTCGTGGAGGGAGAAGGCTTGTTGGAGTTTGGTGAGAAAGAGGAGGACATCCTCATGGGTTTGGCCCAAGAAGGTGGGGATTTCGTTGACGTGGAATGATGGGGGGATTTTGCCTTCTCTGGGGTTAATGGTGGCAAGGGTATTGAAATCAAGGGTGGGAGAGGCAGAGTCGAACACGGTGAAATCATTGGCGGGGTTGGTGGGGATGAGAGCATCTGGGGGTAGTGGAGCGGGATACACAACTTGTGGAATGATCTGGGTATAGTTGGGGATGGTTGAGGTACTAGTGGAGGTGGATAAGAGCGGTTTTGATTGGGGGGGCACGATTGACGACTGTGTGACGGCAGGGGTTGTCGTCTTGGGCGAGGGGGGAGGTGGAGCGACCATGGTGGAGGTAGTGGTGGATGAGGGTGGGGATGTACAGGTGGACGGTGTTGGTGTGGAGGTTGAAGTGGAGGCTTGTCCGGAGGAGGGGGTGGGATGGGGTGTGGAGGAGGGGGGTGTGGTCGTGGTGACGACCGTGATGGCGGGGGAGTTTCCCTGGAGCGTGGTGACACAATCGGAGATGGCGACCATGGTGGTGTTGATGGTGGCAAGGGAGGATTTGAGGGAGGTCAATGTTTGGAGGATAGTTGCGAGTTCCAGGGTGGTGGTGGTGGAAGTTGGCTGATCGGAACGAAGATCAGACATGTTGATGGAAGATTGGGCCATGGTGGGGGAAGAGGGGGTGGATGACGTGGCCGGAACGGAAGTGGAGGCGGTAGCAGCAGATGTGATAGTGGTGGTGTCGCGTCGTCGGCGGCGGCGGCGGCGCGTTGGGAGGTCTTGGTTTGGCGTGGTGGCATGTGGAGATGGGGGGGCAATTCCTATTTACAAGAATAGAGCGTCATCAAGTGATTTAGCAATGAAGGTAGCAGAGAATCGCAGAGCAAGAATTAATTATGAATAAATTAATTTGAATTTATTCGAAATTAATTCGAGAGTGTATTTTTCAATAAATACGAAAGCAAAATTTTCAGGAATTTCCAAATGAAAAGAAGTAAATAATTCCGAGAAAAATAAATTCTGATGAAATTTATTCGGATGTACGTTCGGGGAAATTTTATAATTTTGAAAAGGGGTGATTAATTCTGAGTAAAAGAGATTAAGTCAGTTGTGAATAAAGTTTAGTCTAAATTAGTTTAAGGAGTTCAGAGAAAAAAAAAAAAGGAAGTACTTCTGAATAAAAAGAGAATTTCGAAAAAGAATTGCGAAAAAGAATTTTTCGAATTTCAAGAAAAATTGCAAAAAGGAATTTTAGGAATTAAAATATATGAGGAAATTTATTTAATTAAAATTATTTTTGAATTTCAAAAAAGGAAATATCGAAAATTAATTCTAATTTCTAAAAGTATTAAAAGTAGTCTCGGAAAAGAGAAGAAAAGAAAAGCAATGTTGAGAAAGAATTCTTTAATTCGAACGAAAAGAACTTACTTAATTCAAAAAAAAATCCGAAAAACAATTAATGAAAATTATTGTTGAAGTTCGAGGAAGGAAAACTTAATTTTAAAATTTTCGAAAAATAATTAATTAGAGATGTTTTCGGAAAATAAATGTCGGGAAAGGAATTTAATTAATTATAGAATATTTCGAATTACAAAAATTTCGAAAAAAAAAAAAAGAATGAATTAAAATTATTTTCGAATTTCAAAGAAGAGATGCCGAGAAAGAATGCTTAATCCTACATATTTCGAAAATTTCGGAAAAGAAAATATTTTTGGGAAAGAAATGTCGAGAATCTCGAGATAGATAGTTGATGAAGTATTTTCGAATTTTCAAAAATTTTAGAATGAATTCTAGAAAATAATAATAATAATAGTATTTAATAAAGGAATAAATGAGTTTTGATGTAAATCGAGGGCGGAGCCATCCTATCTACGATTGAATGGGTGGTAGCGTGGTAGGTAGGGTACAGGTAGATTGATGATGATGATGATAATGATGAT